GTAGTATATTTATTATTCCTATTCTTCAGAGATGGGTTTTGCTCAATATATCTAATTTTTGGCTCTTAGAGATTTAAAATTCACAAAAAATATGGTCCATTGTTTCTGATCCTTTACCACATTGCTATGTAAGACTTTGTATTATTCCTATAGATGGTTGTAGTTCAATGTATTTTATTTTTGTTTCTCGTAGATTTTACATTCCTAAAAATATGGTCCATGGATCCTTTACCTGGTATCTAAGCTTTTTTTTATATTTCTATTCTCCAGAGATAGGTTTTAGAACAATTTACCTCATTCTTGCCTCTCATAAATTTCAAATTTGCAAAAAGTATATAGTCCATTGTTTCTAATCCTTTACCATACCTTCACGTAGTATATTGTATTATTCCTATTCGCCAGAGAGAGATTTTGCTCCATGTGTCTCATTCTTGTTTCTGATAGATTTTACATTACCAACCAATATGGTTCATTGTTTCTGATCATTTTCCACATTACTCTATAGATTTCTATAATGTGGTCAATTGTTTCTGATCTTTTACTATACTGCAACGTAGGCTTTTGTATTATTTTGCTCAACGTATCTTATTTTTGTCTCAAATTTTACATTGACAAAAAGTAGGGTCCACTGTTTTCAATTCTATACCACCCTGACACTTAGGATTTTGTATCATTTCTATTCTCCATAGATGGGTTCAATGCAACTAATTTCTGTCTCTCACAGAATACATTGCCAAAAAAAATGGTCCATTGTTTCTGATCCTTTGCTTTACTGGTACGTAGGCTGTATTATTTCCTTTCCTCATAGATGAGTTTTGCTCAATGTATCCTATAGATTTGCCATTCACAAAAAATATAGTACATGGTATATTATTGCATTATTCCTATTCTCCAGAAAAGAGTTTTACTTAATTCATCTTATTCTAGCCTTGCATAGATTTTGCATTCCCAAAAATATTAGGAAAAGCAATGATTAATTATTACTCTATTAAGATTTGGTATTCAAAAATATCAGTTCTACCATTTTCAAAATTAACTACTACTTAATAACAATAATATTAGGACCACCACTGGGCGACTTGAAATGCCCTTTCTTTTTTATATTAATCAAAAAAATTACTAGATGTCATATTTTATAGACAGTTGTAATTACTAAATGAAATAAAAAAAAATAATAAAAAATATCAGTTCTGTGGGAACACAAGATAAGAAGCAAGAACTTTTTTTTTAATATATTTAGCCTCTATTAACGAATTGTTTTTTTTAATTTTTTATTATGTTCAATACATCAAAAATGAAATTATCAAATTATTAACTTTTAATTTATGAAATTGCTTTTTTATGACATTGTTACAGTTCTCGCATTTTCTTCAAAAAATTATAATAATTTTATATCAAATTCTCAGGCCAATAGATCACTAATGACGTACATGCATAAAATGATTCAGGCTATGATAATAAAATGCTTATTGCATCCGCAATCAATAAGCTGAAGACTAATGTTACTTTCTATAACATTGACACAAGTTAAAATTAATTAATAGAAATATAAACGCGACATTCAACTGATGGAATGCACAAAGATTTCTTTGAAAACGTGGGAAAATAGAAAATTTTGATATTAAAAATTATATACCTGAATCGCATTTTTTAGCCTCTAGGATACCGAATTATTTGAAACCTTAATTAATATAATTTCTTGATGAATATATCCGTAATTTAATTTATATAAAAAATGTATTAAATAAACATATATTCATATGAAATAACATAATAAATTATCTTCATAGGAAAAGACTGGTAAATGTATCATCTATGATGACAAATTGATATTCTGCTAATTTCAAACAAGTTTTTATGTCTTACAATAAGTTGCGTTAAGATTTTTCAGATTTTTTCAAATTATTAAGAACAGCAATTACTAATAGCAATTAGAATTAATGTGATACAATTTCTTAACTATGGTGAGATTGATGTAGAAGGCAACCCAATGGTTATCTATTTAATATGATTATATTGTTATTTCTTAAACTATTATTTATATCTTTTCAATAGACAAATTTAAAAAAATTCTAAATTTTAATTAACAAAAATGAGGTTGTGTGGAATATTGAAATATGTTTTTCTATATTGGACCCACAGATGAAACGTAACAGTTCCGAAACATAAATACTTTTTTTTTTAGTTTTGATAGTGTGTTCAGATATAGAAGAAAAAAATCAATAAAAAGGGCATATTCATATTTTTACATAAATATTAATAAAATATAGTATCTTTTTTTCAAATGTGTGTATTTTAAGTATTTTGTGTGATATAATATATATTTAAAATATCGAGAATATTAGATCAGCGCGACATATACTACATCCATGCTACATCATTATCTATAACAAAAATACACAAAATGGCACAATTAAAGAAAAAAACTCAAATATTAGCTACGTGAATTTTAAAGAAACGAAATTACAATTTGTGATATGTATTTCTACAGAAATTCTGACGATTGTATGTAACTATAGTGGCGAAACGTTGTAAACAAATACCATCTTCAAAAAAACTTTAATTTATTTTTATTTTGGATTAAATTGAGATTGGATCATACATACATTATTATACCATAATCAAAATTGTTATACTATTGTTAATTAAAAAAAACTAATTTTAACTTTGAAGTAAGAAATACTAATGTATATGTTATAGAACAAATCTTAGTAATTTATCGAAATTTGCAAGATAGTATATACAAATATACATTATACATTACAAAAAAACTAAAATTTCACTAAATGTGAGTTCATAGACATATGAATCATAACATAGAAGCAAAACGCATGTCGTAAGATCTATATATAACAAAATAATATAAGATCTATCTTAATTATACATTCAAAACATATAAGTATGAATCAACAACCAATAATTTTAAATTTACTTTTATATTGTCATATGCATATTGCACAATAATAAATGTATGAAATGTGAATTTTAATTTCCATTTTGTAGTTTATGATATTTTTTTAATGTACATTGATAATTAACACGTTAATCGCCACTATAATATCATAAAAAACTTGTATATGGGTAACTTCAATTCAATTTCCATAGTAACTATATGGGATAATTTAGTTAAAAATATACCAAGGATATTCAGCGTATCAAAGAATATTTTTTGCCAAAATTTATCAAAAAAAATGTTTTATGTATATTATTTTTTTAAAACTATTTTTAAAATTCTGTTTCTTAAGAAGTTATACAATTTTCCGGTTGATTTGTCAGGTAAAGAAGCTAGGGACTTGTTATAACAGATTTTTTAAAAATTAATACATATTGAAATCCACAGATTATAATTCTACAAAATAAATATGAATAGTTGTAACTATTATAGTGCTGTACCTGTAACTATACCTATACCGAATCAAGTAAAAATATATCCACAAATGTTGTTCATTATTTCATAATTAATCAATTTCTAGAATAAGTGCAGTGTTACAACTTACCTCGTTTTTGGAGCTAGTTGTAACATCTACAAGAGCAAAACCGAGAAAGAAATCACAATAATGTTTCTGATAATTCATTATCTACTTATTCAAGAAAATTAACTTATTTTTAAGTAATTCTTTTCATACATCAAAGCAGATTTAACATAAAAAAAATATAAAATGCCTCTTGTAACAATCGACTTGTAAAAAAAATTATCATGTATCAACGTAAACTGCAATATTATAACACAGAATAAAGGTATAATGTCTTCTGTACAAATCTTACAAATTTTGTATAAAATTTTTGTATGGTATAACTAGCCCCAAAGTTTTGGTTCATCTAACCCCAGATGTGATTTTTTAAGTTATTGTAATCGTCCAAAAATCGAAAATGAAAATTTTTACATTTCTCGACGTTTTGAAGGTTTGTGAACATTTTGCCATACCTTTGTCAGAAAAAATGAATGTGTGTGAGTGTATGTATGTAAGTATACAATTTTTCAGTCACGTTTTCGGCCGCACGAATCAACCGATTTGAATGGTTCAAAAAACATTCGATTCCTATTGATAAGGAGATGTCCTGATTAGTTTTTGACAAAGGCAGGTCCAGCCGTTTCGGAGTTACGGAGCAAAGAGTGCAGAAAATTGAAATCGAGTTTTTGAGAGATCGGAGCATCCGATTTGAATGATCCTAAAATCATTCAATGCATAATGTCGGCGAGAAGGAGTGATTAGTTTTCGGCAAAGGCACGTCCAGCGGTTTCGGAGATACAGAGCTAAATGTGCAAAAAATGGCAGTTTTTGAGAGAACTAAGCGTCCAATTTGAATTATTCAAAGAACTTTCTGCTTGTTTTAACAAAATAATTGCTTTTGAAAAAAAAACTTTATAAAGTTTTAATATACTTTAAACAAATATTTTCAGCTTTGCAATTCAGTTTATATAATTCTTATAAATAATAGACAATATCACGATATTTATAATAATATATTTGAAAATATTTAATATTCCTCGAACATTTCGTTACGGTACGGAAAGTTCCAGCAATTTGCCTTAAGGCACGATGCCATACACACCACTAGTTTAATTTAATATCATAAAGAGTAATCAATTTCAAGCAAATTAAGATATATAATATTCAAAATTAGTCGATAATAATAACGCAACGAACTCAAAATTTTATGATAGTACAATTTTATATGTCAGAATTTTACATGTCAAAAATGACGGACCTGTACAGTTCTGTTTATTGTGCACAACTACTTATATGTCCAATCGAGACAAAAAAATATTTTAATTAAGATTATATTGAAAAACGCATGTTGCTAGTTACCCCCGTCACAGATAGCCCCTAGTTCTCCTATATTTGTCTTATAGGGCTAATGTAGAACTTCTTAGTGTCAGACACATACGACTGACATGACGATCAAAGTGTTAATATCGAGTATTTCCAAATAAACTATCCATCACCACAAACGTCATTTGCTTACTGATAACGCGCACATGTATCACATCGCCTCACCTTGTCAAATATGTAAACAGTCTTCGCATTTGAGCAACACCACTAATTAATCCAAGAATTTCACGTCAAACCAAACATTTCTCGATCACAAATTTAACTGCACTGGCATAGATTGTAATGTACTTGTAAATTTATATAATACCTTTATAAAAACACAATACAAAATGCACAAAAATTATGGGAATCTGATTGTGAGAAAGACCTCGTGCGTTCTGAGTTCTGAGTTCTGAGTTAGCGACTCGAGCGCCTGTTCGGCTGAGGCCTTCATTCCATCTCAGATGGCGTGGGCTCACTACTAGTTGTTCAACAGTTTGTCCATATACGCGAATAAGAAATCGGCGGTGAACCAGTCGGATACAGGACCGCATTAATAACCCACACTCGGGGCACATTATATTATACATAATAAAATAGAAATAATATCGCTCTGTAATGTTTCGAGTCTATCTATCAGCATAGACCTTATAATAAATAAATATATGGACTGCTGGTCGAGCACAAAGAAGTGTCAAAACTGAGTGGAGAATATTCGTATTATTCGCCAGTTTTCGAAGGTTTTCGGCAACACTCGTTCATCCCGTGTCGTCACTATCGCCTTTCATGTTTTGACACTTTTTACCAGGAAATACATATAAAAACTAGCAGTCCATGTATTTACAGGAATTTCCAGGCATTTTACACATAAAAGCACATAAAAACATATAAAAACTATTGGGGCGCATGGCATCGTGCCTTAAAGCAAATTGCTGCAACTTCCCGTATTAAAAATTATTATTTTTTTTAAAAACGATTAACATTTTTAAAAAAATTTTACTCCGAAAAAAATAGATTTTTGAGAAACTATAAATTTGACAATAAATTACTTTTTTTTGAAAAAAAATGTTTTCCTTATTTTGACATATTTTGGAAATTCTAAACTTATTTTCAAAGCAATCGTACTGCTATAAAGCGCGTAAGCGCTGCGTCGCTGTCTAACGGATAAACATTGGTACGGAACCCATAGGAATGTTAACAAAATTTATACTTATTGTTAAAATCTCTATAAAATATCAGATAATTTGATGTGCATATGTCTAATGATCATTTTTGACCGCCAAATGGCATTTTTTTTTACTTTTTTTATTAGATCTCCGAAACCGCTAGACCTGCCTTCATGAAAAAATTTTGAATTATTTAAATCGGACGCTCCGTTCTCTCAAAAACTGAGTTACCGTTTTTGGCACTTTTTGCCCTATATCTTCAGAACGGTTAGATCTGCCTTCGCCAAAAACTAATCAGCAAGTCTCCTTATCAATACAAGTCGCTTCATCCGTGTTCCCGAAATCGTCGACGAAAATTTGTATCCGAACTCACACATACACGCACACACACACACACATGCCAAACATTTGGTATGCCAAAATGTTCAGAAAGTTTTCAAACGTAAAAATATATAAAAATTTTCATTTTCGATTTTTTTGCGATTACTATAACTTGCCCTACGGGAAGTTAAAAATTTTTATACTTGTTTATCTGTGCATAAAACCTAATTTCCAAAAAGCCCGAATGTCAAATAACAATTTTATCATAAGTGTAACTATCTGATAAAAGGGGGAGTTCACAAAAAATCACGAAATATAACGTGGAGGTGGAGGGTTAGTAAAACATCAAGGGTATTTATTTACATATTTTAAAAATAAAAAAAAAATCAAATCAAAATCCTAAAAATTTTACGGTTTTATCTAAATGTGTACCAAAAATACACGTGATGGTTGGAGGCTGGGGGTAATTTTAATTATTACAACGTGTCACTAAGGAGGAGGAATGGGTTCAAAAATCATTAAAAAGTATGTGATCTCTTTTTAAGGATTTTTGAACCCCCATATATTGATTGATTGAATATATAAAATAATATATTGATTTATAGATAAGAAACAAAACGTTGACCTATCTCTTATTAATAAATAGCTGCCTACATTTCCAAGTTCCATTCCAATTGATGTCACTACTTCTTGACATCAGGCTATATGAGGTGGGTTTTAGGTTTTATACAAAAACCGACATTTTAGAAAACTGGATTTTGACTGGTATATTTATAAAAAATCGTTTTAAACCGGTTTCGAGTTTTCAAAAAAAAAACTATTTGCTCGAATATTTCGAACAAACAATGTTTAACAGAAAATGTCGAGTGATTGAAAGCAGTTTTCGACGGTTTCAATTTTATTGATAATAAATTTTAACGTATTTTAGTAGAACAAAAAAAAATTATTGAATATGATTAACTAATTAATAAATCAAAATTATATATCATTGACTAACAAAATTAATAAAATAATTACTTATAAGATAATTAATTATTTTTTGTTTATGCATAGTTTTTATATATAAGGATGTGAATATTTATATTTGTAAATATAATAATGAGATGAAAGGTAGCATCGATTTGCAAATGTGTTTCCATCAGTCTGGTACATATGTGATTTTTAATTTTTCAAAGTATTTTTCCTATTTTGAAAATCAGTATTTTCTATTTGCATATGAGGACTAGCAGTTCATGTGTCATAAGGTCTATGGCTATCAGGCATTTTACACATAAAACCTAACCTCCAAAAAGCACGAATGTCGAATAACAATTTTATCATTAATTAGTCCTAAGCACATATGAATTTGCTTCATCGCATAATTAGCAAGTTTATCACTATTTTGTAAATTAAATAGTTTTAGTTAATATTTCAATTAATAATAATCAAAATGATAAAAATAGTACGCACGTTTTTGTAGAAATTTCAGATTAAGATACAATGAAATGCGAGTCAAACTCGCTTATTGATCTCATTTTTTTCAACAACGATCTGAAATATATAAATTGAACTTTATGGTTGACCATTATGATGAGATTTGTAATAATTTTTTTATCTAATTCGGATGAAGATATATATATATATATATATATATATATATATATATATTGCAATAAAGCCCCAGCAGACTATTATCACATATTACCATTTTTGGATCTATAACCACAAAGGGAAATCTGACATTACTAGTGCTTGTTATCAAACTGGCAAAGGTGAAATTAAAAAGATATTTCAATTATTAATATTGAAGTTGTTAGAATTTGTTTCATAATTTGGTTCTGGTTCTCGTCTATTATATTTATACTTGATACGCATTCAAAGTTTCATAACTGAATGAGAAAACAGGTTTCATGTCGGCCCTAAAATCAAATTCCTTTTTTAATAGCGATTAGAACTACATGTTCTATGATATATCATTACAATCTAGTTTTTTTTTGAATAGGGCACCCATCGGTCAACTAATTTTCTTTTTATGTGTAGACCATATATTATTTTAGACATTGTATATTGTATATCTAATAGTCTTGTCATTTGATGTTGCAGCAATACCCATAAAAGCCGATTTTTACTTCAGGATATATAACCTCAAGTGGAATCTCATCTCATCGATATCAGGCTGGCCGAGATAGGGATCGAACCCGAGACTAGTTTGTGCTAGTCCACGTCCAATTACACGACGGCGTGCTCTCAAATTTTTTGTTAGACCTTGAATTTTTTATGATATGAAAATATATTAATAAATATTTATCTCAGTAGAAAAGCAAATCATATCTTGTATTGGTATTTGTTAATAAATAAAAATACTAAAATATTTGTTAATACTAAAATAAATTATTCTGCTGTCTTATAATAAAATTTAAAAAAATTGCAGATGTTTAGTTTTCATGTACCCTTATTATATAATCTCTATTAAAAAAAAATATTTTAATTGCAACAAAGAAATGTCAAAATACTTACTTATGATTAGTATTAGTATATGTCCTCTGTCTAACCGGCCCTGTTTTAAATCGATTCTAAACATTTGTGAAAATAGGTGTGATGCAGTATTACCTTATATTACCGGCAGCGGAATTTATATCAGATGTTTGGATATAAAAACGATCTTTATTATGTTTTAGCGCGAACAATAAAGGTTGCGTAAACAAAAGATTTATCTAAATTCGAATGCCATAGAAATCATGTCTAAAAGTCGTTAAAGTTGTCGGCGTACCTGTAAATGGACATTTCGTGTTCGATAATTAAAACTCTTATATGCAAAACAGATAGGAACGGAAGGTGAAAACTTATGGATTTTTAAATAAAATTCGATTGTTTAATAAATAATCAAAATTCGTATGCTTATTTGTAATCATGTTGTGCCGGTCTACGTCCCAGGATTAGCAAAAACTGATTTCTGATTGATATCAAGCAGTATTTATATCAAATTTTCACTTCAGAATATAGATTTAAAATGTCATAATAAGTGAACTTCGGGTGCATTATTGCAAAAATCTTAAAAAGTAAAAAATTATAGATCAAGTATGGTAAAAATATGCCGCAACTAGATAAGTTTATAGGTACAGTACAAACTCTTACTTTACTGTCTATAAACAGCTTTTCACAACAGCCTTCTGTTGAAATACCAAAAACAATTACCATTAAAAATTTACTATTAAATTTTTATTAATTATTAATAATACATGTCTTCATGATAGTCAGACGACAATTCAAAAAAAATGTCTCCTGCAATAGTATAATCGTTTGCATACCTATTTCTCTTGGTTTCCAAAGTTTCCAGACACCTCTATTATAGTCATCCTATTTTTGTAAGGCAAAGCAATTACTTTTTCATAAGAACAAAACAAAATCCATCAAATGAAATACATTGCAGCAATGGCCTCGAAAAAAAATTTCACGTATTATCAAACTTTAGATCTATTAACCGCAAGAGAAAATCTGATATCACTAATGCCAGATATCAAGGTGGCCTAGGTGGATATCGAACTTGAAAATAGTGGTTTCTATATCAAGTTCTTAAAAGCATGAAAAACGAGTTTGCTGATCAATGAATAAGTTGAAATGCGTTTTGCACCAATTTTAAGACTAAAGTCACAGTTTTAAGAGGAATACGGAATTTAAGCTATATGATAGTTTTGTACAGAAGTACCTTGTTATCGAGAGAGATTTCGAATTTTCTCCCAAAAAGCCAGTAAAAATCTTTTATTTTCAGTTGGATTTGTTTCTTTTTATTTTCAATGTTCGTTTTCATGTCAATTTCGAATCGATGTGCATGCCTAAATATTTAACAGTGTTGCATAGTGGAAATGTTTAATTGTTTATGGTCATAGGTGGACTATTGTGGTGTTTTAGTGAAACATATAAACAGTTATGTGAGATTTTTCGATATTGATTTTGATATTCCATTCTGAAAACCATTTTTCGAGTTTTGTAACTGACAAGTTGCTGTTGTAATATCAGAATTGCATTAAATTATAGCTATGTCATCGGCGTTAGTGCACATTATTAGAAGATCATATGTGGGAATATCGCTTGTGAAAAGGAAATAAAGTACTGGGCTTAGCACGCTGCCCTGTGATACCCCGCGTTCTATATTTCTAATGCTCGAAGTCACATCTTTAATTTTGATTGTAAATTTTCTACTAAGTAAAAATGAATTTAAGATATTGAAATAGTTTAGAAAAGTTGTTCTGTTTGGAAAAGCCTGGCTGACATCTAAAAATACTGCTAGCCTGTGTTCTTTTCTATTCATCTTTTCAAGACCTAATGCTTTGCTACAGTTTATGATACAAGTCGTAAACTTATGAATTTTTTATTTTATGCAGTTTCTTAGTAATTTTTTTGAAATTTTTTATATGCCTATTAGAATACTCATTAGTTAAATTGTATTTGGAAATTTTGATATCAAACTTGCACCATCAGTTGATGCAGATATATATATATATATATATATATATATATATATATAATAAAAAATATTCATGTATTTTGACAGCAATGCGATTCTGTTTTTTTATTATGTCTCATCTGGGCGGATCTGCTCAAGATGTATACGTTTTTTAGTATCAAAATAACGAAATAAATTTTTTACCAACAATTGTTATTTTCAACGTTGAGCCAATTCAACGAATTGGCTTAAATTATGTTCAAAAATATGTTTAAAACTGTAAATTAATAATACGATACATCAAATGTGCGATATTGACATTCTGTGTAATCACCTTTTATGGCGTAATATCGCACAGACAGAAACCAGTTATCTTGAATATGATAATGAATTAAAATTATTGAATGAAGTGTCTATTTGCTATTTTTTTCTGAAAAGATGATTTTTTGTTTTGTTGCGTAATAATAATTTTTGTGTACTACCAAATCATTAAAATATTGATAATATTTAATTCATCTGCAAGAATTTTTGAATGATTTAGTATAAAATAAGCATATTCTAGCAGTTTTATCTTTCCGAAAAATTTAATTCAATGTAATATTTCTAAAATTTACAATATAGACTTCAAAATCGTAGTTTAATTAAAATTCATTTAGCATTTTATCCATTCATTTCAAAATATAATTTGTCGCTTTAATATGATCGCTTTGATATATATTTAGAATTTTCAAAAAAATTTAAAAACCAATGTTTTTAATTCTATTTTCTGAATGTACATATATATACAAATACACACAAAAATTTTTATACTATTCCGGATGATATTTCCGAAGTTTCACGCAAATTCTAAAAGGACAAAAAGCTGAAAATGCATTTCCAACAATCTTATTTTTAATAATCGTAGTAGAGGCTCGGTTTTTATAATATTTCAGTGTTTGATTCAAACACATATTATTTTAAATAGCAGCAATTAAAATAGCGGTGCAATGCATGGTAACTTAAGACAATATACTGTAACCTCCTATTATCGAAAATATGATAGATATATAAAATTAATGGACATGTAATGAATTATTTTTAATAATAAAAGAAAGGATATACAAGTACAACAAATCCAGTTATTCCAACCTTTTATATTTAACTAAACCAAATTCTGTTAAATCCACAATATAGTAATTAACAAAATAGAGATTTCAATTTCAATAATTACAACGTGAAACGTCCATCAGAAAGCTTCAGATACATATTTATTAAGCAATAAAAATAAAAAGATAATATTTTCACTCAATTAGTAAGCGTATTTATCACTTCGAAGCAAATTATTAATATAAAGTCTGTAAATTTTGTTTTTTTACAAACATTTTATTTTTCATTTTTTAAGTAATAATTCTATCTGCAACTTGAATATGAAAATATTCGATATGGTTCAACCTATATATATTGTTTAGCCTACATCTAACTAAAATCAATAATAAATTAAGTGAGTATAAAATCTTCTGGAATCTTTTCTAATCTATAAATCAATGCAACTACTTAGGTAATATCAGAATGACTAGTCAAGTTCATGAGTTTTCTAGAAAATTGTTTTCCTTATTTCCATGATCACCGTTGCCATGGCGGAAATCAAATGTTTTCTATATTTTGTATGACAAGTACTATTTTTATGATAAGTTTCTTTTATACACTATATTATTGAAAATTTTGTAGGTAAGTGCTATTCATTTTCTATACATTAAATTATTAAAAATATTAAATATATTAATGTAACGTTATTTTCTCCGCTCCGAAGAAGATGACGACATGTTAATAATATTATTAATAATATTCAATATGTTAATTGTAATGGTGTAAATAATTTATAAAGAAAATTTATTAACATTTAATTTTAAGGTTGTTAGATTTAAAAAATAGAGATAATGTATCAATGTACCAAATATGAAATATTTCTGAAACAAAATTTGTACGCATACTAATTTTATATGTCAAATGAGTTCCTCAATAAAAATCGTATATTTCCAAAAAAAATTATATGTATATAAAGCAAACTCACAACTAAAAAATTAAATTTTATAATAAGTTCAAAAAATGTATGCTATTATTAGTCGGTGTCATTATTAAAATAATACAGACATTGATAATTATGGTTAATGCAATTTGATAGTTTGATTAATTTTATTTATTTTTAATTGTCGCTACAAATTAAAATTTAATTTATAGATTACGATTATTATATAAGTTTGATAAAATACAAAGAAAAATATGTATATTCAAAACTTGTCTGCAATTCGTTATAAATTGATAATCATTGTTTCTAAAATAGTTTATTGTTAAAAACATTGATGTAAATCAATAATTAGTTACGCAATTTATTTAATTTGTTTAACCACAAACGTTCACCATATTTTTTGCCAATTAAGTAATAATTATTTTAGAGCATATTTTATGCAATTTTTTCTAAGTGGTACAAATTGTCTAAGTAAAATAATTCTTATTGTGCCTTATAAGAGATTATGATTAATAATTAAAGAAACAGCTTTAAATTATTAAATAAATTCTGAAGTTTTGAGAAATTGAATAAATAATATAAGTTGATTGTCTTGCATCAAATTATTGCATTATGGAAGAAACCATTATTTAATTTTTCATAACGAATTGCAGGAAAGGATTTTCGTAGATCCCTCAATACAATTTGTTCTAAAAATTATTTTCAATGGGATTCTAGTTAGTTGTAAATTTTAAGTGCAGTATTTTTATATAATAATTAATTATTAAAAAAAGTTTGTATGCGTACTGGGCCTACTTGACAAATTATAGTAATCATATAGTTGTATTACAATTAGAATTGACAATAATACAATCGTATTTAAATAGTAATCAATAGAAATCGTATTTGAAGAGTCCAACTCGCAATTGACTTAATTTTGTCATTCTATATAAGAAAATATGGGAGTCATATATTGTTGTCTCAGAGTTGACAATAATACAAGTACAATAAAAACCTTATTAAACGAGTCCGACTCGAAACTGACTATTTTTTATTCTACTTGAGAAAGTATAGTAGTCATATATTGATACGAGTCCGACTCACAACTGACTAAATTTTTATATTCCACAGCATGCCGCCAGAAAACCTCTCGGAGAGGGTTGTCAACAACGACTGGCGCCCCCACATCAGATCTGAAGGGGTATGGATTAAAGAACTTCCAGGACCACCAGGCTGTCTCAAGCCCTGGTACAAAGGACTACCCTGGCACGAGCGATTGTCCAATCATCATACTTTGGCCAGCATAAGGCAATGCGCTATTTTCGTTCCCAAGCGGTGAGCATTATTTATTTTGCCTTTGATTCATGAAACAACATGAACGTCTAGTGATTTGCGGCTTTGTTAGGAGTAAAATTAAGACGAATTTGTTAGACTTCTAAACTGAAAGGTTTACTTCAACATAATAGAAAGATTATAGCATTTTTACTACTAATGCCAAGCACTTCCACAATCTAAAAGGGAGCATACAATACCAAAGTTTAAATTTTAGCATTAAGTGGAAGTAAATTTATAGATATTCTAGTTATCATGAATTGTAACAAGTCGTTAATTTATTTTCCGCATTTTTTGTTCTTTCAGAGTTCCACTCGATAGTTTAGACAATAAAATGATGTCAAACTACAACCATAGTTTAGAATTGTTTCCTGATCCTGTAGATATAGTCCTGCAGCAGGACACCATTAGCAATGTGGCCGAATTGGCACCACCATGCGTGGAGTATGGCGATAATTATACAAATGCAAGAGGGAAACCGTGGAGGAGATTGACAAACACCAGGGAACTAAAACGGGAACGAATTATTGCTTTGGTAAAAAAAAAAAATATTTAAAAAAATACAATCTGATCACACCAAAACTCGTATATACAAATAATTCATTAAATGCTATAGATTAGTTTATGGTAGAACTCTTTCAAACATGAAGAAGTAATAAGAATATGTCATATATTACTTTTTAGTAGAGAGAAGATGAAATAATTTTTAACTTAGACAATTAACTCCAGCATAAAGAAATTGTGTTTATAAGTCAGATTAAAACTTTTCACCAACTTCAGTCCACCATCTGCTCTTGCGGTACCATCAGTCCCTGCAGTAGAAAGCAGTAAAATGTTCTTTTCAAAATTTTATCCATGCAATATAAATCCTTTTTCTCTTCACTTTCTGCAATACTTCTTTATTAGTTACTTTGCCAATTCAATTTATCTCCTCCATATCAGTATCCAGCACCTTCCACATCATCTTGGTTCCTTATCTATGTTCCAGATATTGGCCTTCCTTAAAGACCAGGTCTCTGATTAACAGAGAATCAATATTTTTTATTTATTTTTATTATATATATATATATATATATATATATATATATACATTATTTTCATATCTCAGACAGACAGAAGTGCCTGGTATTATGAGAGGTTACGAAATCAGTTTACCTAATTTATATATACATTTCATTTGATTATTTCATTAATATAATATCTATTATAATTAAAATATTTTTATATAACTCTTCAGTCTTCTTTGTCTCCAATTTCCTTATAAATTTCTTTATTTTTCTTTTAAATTTATTGTCATCATTGGTCATGTTAACATCGTTTGGCAATATTGAGTTCGATCATGAGTTGGGCCCCGTTTTTCAGGCAGACCACTCATAATTATATAATGATTATTTATTTTTACAGGGGCATCCTCTCCAGATAGCAGGACTAAAAGAGAGGATGTCACCACATCAAGTAAAGTTGATGAACAGTGGACACCATTCACCACTTACCAATCCAGGATATTCTAGACAACCGGCCGATGGAACAGTTTTCCGCTATTAACTTCTATTAACAATATATCTAAATTTCTGATAATTGTACTTTAAATACTAGACAATATAAATTATGGTTCAAACGATTATAATAATAAAGTTATAAATAGTTAGCAAATTGTATTACTATGCATTTTATATAAATACTTTACATATGGGGAAGTCCCCGAGTGGCGGACACCTAAGGTTAATTATAAATAAATTAAAAATATTTTGCGAAATGTTTATTAAATTATGACTTATGTTAGATAACAAAGGTAGAAATCAAACTAAATTAACAAAAACGCAACCATTGCTAAAAAATAATTGAAACTATCGATCAAACTTTGATAACAAAAAATTTGATTTGAAAAAGTAGCACCTAGTACCGGACATTTCAAATTAACCTGCATTGAACACATATGTACTATCTTCACACTCTGAAAGGTCTGCATATATGTGTTTGACAAATATTCTTAGATATTGCAAAAAAAATCACTATTCATCCACCATTTTGGCTGGAACACACCGATGTTCACAGCTAGAGCATTCATCATAAGCTTTTCATTTTTTGACTAGGAAATACAAAAAATGGGGGTATGTAGTGACCGTTAGCACTCACATAGAACAAAATTAAATAATTATTATAAATTACGTCAATTCTTACAAGAAATATCAATATGTTTACTGGCCAGCGCTAAGAGAGGACTTAGTGTCCGATGCTAAACGACAGACATATTCGTTCATTTGTTGGTACTTACTAAAATTGCTTAAAAGATCTAATAATATTCTACCATTTTACGGTTAACAATCAAGTACTTTTTTATCTTTGCATACCACTCTAATGTAAATGCATTAATATACTAGAATTACTTCCATTGATATTTAGGTTACTCCGTGATTTTGCACCTAAAACTAAAAAATACAACTAAAAAAGACAACCAAAAAATAAACTAATAAAAAAATCTATGAGCACTATAATTATTATTTCAGTTTATTTCTGCTAATAAATAGTGTTTTTTTTAATATCCAAATATTATCCATTGATTCTAAAAATGAAGATAATTTTTCAAGAATCAAAACAGTAAGAAAATAATATAGACAATATATGAAAAATATATAACAATATATGACAAAACATAATTTTTTAAATAAATTTAACAAGAGTTCTTTGTGATTTTTTTACCTATATTGAATTTTCCTTTGCCTTTCTCTTCTATATTTTGCCTTAGTTAAGTTAGATTTTTTATTCGTTTAATCTTTGCCCGAAAAGGACAAGAAATACGTGTCACAACCGTACCCCAAAATTTCCCACAACGCACACTTTTGAAAACAAATCATCATTATGCCTAAGCTAAATTATTTAACAAAAACTAATTGCTTGTTAATAACTACTAATGTTCAGCTTACAGCAATATAACAAAAAAAGTAATCTACCTGTATACAATTAATAGTTATTATTAAAAGAATTCGATCATAAAAACTTACTTTTGACTGTTTAAAAACAATGTGGTCTACAGATCACGTAAATGTAAGACACTGACTAAAAGCAATAATGAGAACTTGTCCAAACAATCATACTTCAGCATTTCTCCTTTTGGACCCTATCTCAAAATCAGTATATGTAGTTTAGCTTTTATGACAACTGTTACTACCGTACCCAGTCTCCCTTATATAACAATTTTTTGCACACCGTCTATTTTGGAAATTGTTATGCCAATACAGCGATAAAATTACAATATCTTAATATATAATAATGTTTTGAAATACTGATTAATTATCTCATCTTGATATGATATCTTTATTTATAGTATTATTCATATGTTTTGTCATTAAGATTATGATTACAATATCAAAACAACGTTACATATATCCTATTGTGCACAAACCATATACGATAAAACACATACGACAAATTAATGTGTTATATTTAATGAGTGTTTTGCTGTTTAATTATCGTATTAAACTGATATAGTACCAATAAATTATTTGGAAAATATTGTGTGTAAACATAAATTGTTGCGGAACAGATTGGTAAACGGTAAGTTGTTCTAAATTATAAAAAAAATCTAATTTTTAATTCATAGGATTGCAAATATATTGTTTAGAGTTATCCTAAACAAATTTTAAGCAATAAATTCACATACATCATTTCATTATTCATAAATCTTGTTAATCATCATTTGTTGAAACTATGAGTTATCTACAGACAAATTATAAATAATTTTTATTAAATAAACTTCATATAAAATTATTTCTTTCCCATGAGTTTATCTTAGTGGGAAGTATTTACAATGACAGTTTAACTTCATAATTTACAAGCATTATTAAAGTAATGAATCTGTATTATTAGTGTGTGAAATTTGCCTATTGACAAATTATCAGAACTCCCAAATGTAAATAAACGTGTTTAAATGAAGTTAATCACTAAACAAAAATTTAGCACTCCAAATTAGTGATACGAGTAGTGAAACCGTAACAAATTATATAACAAACTAGTTGGGTGAATGGCATCGTGTCTTAAGGTAAAGTGCTGGAACTTCCCGTAACGTAATTAAAAATCTTGATACGAAACCCCAAAAAAATTACACAAAATGTGTACACATTATTAAAAGCTCTATAAAATATCTGATAATTTGATGTACATATGTCCTATAAACATTTTTGACCGCCAAATGACATTTTTTAACTTATTTTTATTGAGAGTCCATAACCGCTGGACCTGCTTCCCCAAAAATTTAATCAGTTCTTCACCTTGTCAATACAAGTAAAATGTTTTTTGAATTATTAAAATCGAACGCTCCGTTCTCTTAAAAACCGAGTTACCGTTTTTGGCACTTTTTGTCCCGTATCGTTGAAACGGCTATACCTGCCTATGCCAAAAACTAATCAGCACGTCTCCTTATCAACAGCAATCGAATGTTTTTTGAATATTTGAAATCGGTCGAACTGTGTTCCCGAAATCGTCGACGAAAATTTGTATCCGCACACACACACACACACACACATACACACATACACACATACATCCATTTTTCTAAAGTATGCCAAAATGTTCAGAAAGTTTTGAAACGTAAAGATATATGAAAATTTTCATTTGCGATTACTATAACTTACCCTAAGGAAGTTAAAAAAGAAACCAAAGCCCGAAACAAGATTGATGTCTTCGAAATTTTGAAAATAATTTTCTTTTAATAATTTTCAAAAAATTGAGGCAATTGAATTTTTTAAAAACACGATATGAATCTCCTGATAACGTGGCGTCTGATTTTCAAAACCTTGATATCTTAGATTGCAAAGATCCCAAATATGTATGATTTTGAAGAAAACAGCTTGTTTTTTTTTGTAACACATTATAAGCATTTATAAATTCAAGTTTCTCTAGAAAAAATCTATATCTTATTTAGTACAGGCTATATCTGCTAAATTTTGGAATTCTTGCGTTTTTATTGTTAAGTGCAAGATAGCTAAATAATAAGCAGTTGATCTATTTTTAGTATTTTTACCCTATTTTATTATTCATATATACGAATCGTCCAACAGTTAATTATCATTTATCATTTATTGAAGCCAATATAAAATTATGTAATAAAATTCATGAATGATAGTTAATAAAATATTGGAAACTACGAATAGCCAAATTTAGCATTTAATTATAGACAATATTATATACCGTAAATCCATAAAAGCTCATGTGGATTAATTTTGGATCATTTGCAGGTGAAAAGTACTTCAGAATTTTATTATACATAACCAAATATGTTAAAATGGTTATATATCATCGCTTTTGTAATCTTGTTAGAACAAAATGCGATCAATGCACAGTTTGATGCTCATCATGAACCAGGACGATCAGGAATCGTCCATTTATTCGAATGGACATGGCGCGATGTTGCAGCAGAATGTGAAAGATTTTTGGCACCAAATGGCTTTGCTGGTGTCCAAGTATGTATTTCTAATAAACTAATGAACTGTACTTTCGATCTTCGTAATTCTTACATATCATGATGGTTCAAATAATATCCTAGTGCTATCACATATTTATGCATATCATTATATTTCAAATAATATCCCAGTGGATTCGACACGCCTCACCTGACCACCTTATCCTATATAAGAGGTTTAAAAAGATATATATTTCTAAGATTTTTATCTTATTGAGACCAAAGTCAAATGATTATTTATATCACAATGGAGGTTCCAATAATATTCGAGATTAGATTTGACTGTATTCTACGATGATGATAGTTCTCATTAATGATGTGAAATGTAGAGAAAGGAACAAATGGTATCAAAACAATTTATTTTTATAGTTTAAGAAGAATAACGTATATAACTTTACTTGTTATGTTTTAAAAGCTTGCATTATACTTTCTAAAATAATATGAATAATCAAACTGCCAACATGAATGCAAATTTTATATTTTATTCAACAAAAACTACTGTAGAAGGTTGAAAAGAAAATCGCCACTTGATCTAAGTTGAGAACAAAATTCTCACCTTATTTTTATTATTTGAAAGAATACACTTTATAGTCATTAGAATATCCTTAGAATTTATCTATTTAGTGGTCTTTTGAGTTGTCATTATAAATATAATATCTTTTATACAATTGACACCAGTAAATCATGACAATTGCTATACGTCCTAAACTGGACAGGTGTAAATTTATAGGAAAAAAAATAAATAACTATTATATTTGGCAGGTATCGCCAGTTAACGAAAATATAGTTATCGAGAATAGACCATGGTGGGAACGATATCAGCCAATTTCATATAAAATAGTAACACGCTCTGGAAATGAAGGAGATTTTGCTGACATGGTCAGGCGATGTAATCAAGTAGGAGTGAGGTATGTGGAGATTATTTACAAATAAATTATGCAAATAATATTTGTAGTAATATTTTTTATCTGTCTGTATTTTATGTAAATGCAAGTGCCGACGTATATATAAATCCTATAAAATAAATACATATTGAAAATCATCTCAACAGCTCAAAGAACTCTGAGAAGAGTTCTGAGTTCTATTA